CCAAAAAATAGGTTTATAACAAAACAAAAAGGTAAAAATGAGTAAAAATGATGAATTTTGTGCGGTAATTCAGCCTGACGTTCTTCCCCCAGACATAACCTTGACTCCTCAGCCTGTCCCATATCTAGGTCTCACGTACAAACCAGCCTGGGACTACAGCGGGCTGGTTAGGCCCAGGGAAATAATGTTGTGTTTCCTGTTTCAGTCCTGGAAAAATCTAAGAGTACGTTGGTAGGGGTTATCTTTGTTGTATTATTATTAGACTTTGATAATCTCTACTCATCCAATTTGTGATTTAGCTTATACAGTTTAACCAAGTAAAATGTGCAGACTGTATACAATCATTATCTTATGTACGCCAAAAAAACAGTTACTCAAGCAACTGGATATGGCTTTGGAAACAGTCAGACGTTTCAGGTAGCATCCACTAGCTTTCATCAGTGACACTAAGACTAGTAAGAGACTGCAGGAGAAATGCAGGTTTATAAGCACAAACTGTTGATCTGTTTATCTTATGTACTGTCAATAGAGCTGTCCAACATTCCCTGTAACTGTACATCAGTAAGACAGATTTAGGCCACACCAATCTAATTTGTTGGTTCTTGCTTTTTCGAAATCAGAAAAAAATGAAGAGGCGAATCCGATAACCAACAAATTAAATCGGTGTGGCCTAAGACAGATTTATAAGGCTAACTACACAAGGCCACATGTATGTAGTAACCTTACACATGCCAGACAAGACAACTTCATGCCAGTTAAACCTGTCAGTCTGTGTGATTTATGTACTGTTTTATACACCCAAGGCTGCAGCATGCACGTACATGTACACTGTAGGGTTCACTGTCAAGCCTGTTATGTTTACAAAGGCTTAATTTTAACATTGTGGCAGAACACAGATCTCTGTTGTCATAAAAAAAAAAGAAATATATATATATATATGTAATGTAAATTAGCACAATACTTCAGACTCAACAATATACATCTGCTTTTGCTAATTAATTAAGTCATCATCAAGAGAAAAAGCCTTGCTGAATTCTAATTTACATGTCAGAAAATTTGTCTAAAATTTTAGGGGATCATATTTCCTACTCAATCATGATCCAAGTTGTATTCTGTGTCTACCATCGTATTTTCTACTCCATACCCAGGGCTGGAAATACTGGGTGCACTCAAATATTTTTGTAGGCATTTTTAACATTAGAGGTGTATAATAGTATACCGGATATTCTTGGTCTCTAAGTATCAGAAAAATAATAAAATCTCTGTTGTAGTAATGTTTCAGATTTTGACGTTAGGTCTCATTTCAGATTCAAGCTCAGAAGAGGAGCAGTAATATCTGCAATCAGGTTTTGTTTCATACGGTGCACCTAATATTTTAGGTTGGGTGCACCAGTACACCTATTCCCCAAACATGAATTTCAAGCCCTGATACCTGAAAAAAAAAGTGGTAGTGGGAGGATAGATGTATATGTCCGCAGAGGGACCCAACCTTAACCCCCTCATGTCAGTGCCTGTAGGATTCACCTGTGACAGTGTGAAGGTTAAACCCTGCCTGTCCTGTCTGCCGACCCTGTCCTGAAAACTGGGCACTTCACGTGTACGGTACTCTCCAAGCAGAGGTTGTGGGGGAATGATCGTTACATTTTTATATATGGCCGTTTTTGTTTGTCGCTACCCCCACCGGTGGCCGACGACCTTCTCTGGCTATTGGATACTGCCTGGCCAATTTTATACTGTCTTTTTGCCACCGATAGGGATCTGCTTGGAGATTAGTGTATGGTACAAGCTTCAGGGAGAACAAAAAGTCAAACCTCATAATAGCTAGCATATATATAACTAGTAGTAGCAGTAGAAGTATAATACTATAAGTTTTCACCAGACAGTAGTTTCCAGTCTCCTGTTACTGCATTGCAATGAGTATTATACTTGATTGTAAAAGCAATTAGCATGCGCATTCGGGCATGATTTTGCAAATAAAGTTTCATTAAATAAATCCTAATGTCCTAATAAATCCATCTGACCTCCACAAGAGAACTCCAGAGGTGTCGAGACTGACCAACAGCCAAAGAAGAGAAGACGATTCTGTACAAAGTAACTATCAGACTGGTGGTGAGGTCAGACAATCTACCGTTTTAGTAATCTGTGGTTCTTGTCTGCCTCACCCACATCTACATAAATGCATGACCTGACTTGTGGATGTCCCAGTTTCTCTGATTAGACTGAACACTAGAATCAACCCAAACTGGGCCACAGAATAACCAACATTTCCGGTACGGTAGATAACTAAATCAGGAACTCAGTCTCAAACATCATTTCTGGCAGAAATTGGCACATTTTGTTACCCATTTTTCTCATCCATGAGATTTTTATCTACAGTAAAGTGTAGAGCAGACAGTATATAGATAATACAACATGTGGATGACCCAAATTCTACAGCCTGACCACAAGCAAATAAAACATCTAGGTTACACAAGATAGCACGGCCTTTTCAAAAACCATGTCAGGCTTATTTCTTGCATGTTATCAGGTTTCATAATGCTCAAGCATCACGGTGGTCAATCCAAAAAAAGGGAAAGAAATTCTTGGGTCAGCGGTTTTTGCTGGGGTTCGTTAGGAACTGGAAATACAACTTTTTTTTTCTGGGCCTAATTATAATAATAGTTGTTTATTGCAAATTCCTGCCCGAGGGCTAATTGCATACATTGACAAGAAAATGTGGTGATACATGTATAAGACTATTTGCTGACATGAACTTCTACGTGTACGATATATTTATCGAACCTACTATCTCTACTTAAATCTAATAACGTTGGTATACATACAGGATAAAAAGTAAATATGCAATATGTGAACAGGTAATAGGAACAATGTAACTGCTATTCTAATCTATTCTATCTTATTCAACTATTCTTGTCATGCTATTAGGGGGTTTGACTTCTTCTCAGGAGGCAGTGGGAGATGAATTGTCCGACTCTTTGAAAAATAAAGGGGTTGGTGGACTTTAGCAATAATATAGTCTTTTGTTGTTGGTTGAGATATGAAAAACTTGGGGAAATATTGGCGACATCTTTGAATAACTTTTTTCTTTCAAAATCGTAATGAGGACACTGACAGATAAAATGCATTTCATCTTCCACTGCTCCCTCTGTACAGTATTTACATAATCTTTCGTTTACAGGCAGTTTCTTATATCTTCCTCTCTCTATCTCTAATGTGTGAGCGCTTAGTCTCATTTTACATAGAGATGATCTTAGCTCAAAGTCAGGGTGATGCAGATAGGTTTCCATATTGTAGTCAGATTTTAGTTTTCTATACAATCTTAATTTGCCGCTATTGATAGATAAATTGTGGAGGAAGGTTTGAATATACATGTCTGTTAGTCTTTTTCTCAACGATATACAAACAAATCTATTGTTTACATGTAGATTGCTATTTTGCCAAATGAACGAGTTACCACTATTGTCGAGTATCTCTTTCACGTGGCATAACCAGTTTTTCTTGTTGCCGTTTAACATATCATGTTGTTGAGACAATAGAGCATCCACTTGTAGTGGATGTGTGCAGAAATCTAGTTGTCTTAGCCGTAACCAGTACTTAACAACCCTGACTGAAACATCTATATCTAGGGGAAATCTGCCGAGTTCAGCTTTACATGCTATGTTGCTGGCGTTTCTGTGAATACCGAGAATGTTTTTACAGAAACGGTTATGTATGACCCATCGCTGAGTTTCCCTGGATTTTCCGCTATGTTAAAACACACTGCTGACCCAGTTTGTGTTCTTGTGAGATAACATTTGAACATGTCAGCAAAAACCCAGTACACAGCTCTCTGTATGGAGGGATGGAACCTGGGGCACATACTAGTAAATCAAATGATTAACCTTCACATGCCAGGCTAGGGCTGGAAATACTGGGTGCATGTGCACCTTTATTTAATAGTGCACCCAAATTTGGAGCTCTGCACCCAATTTTTTTCTGTAGGTGCACCCAAATATTTTCTTAGGTTTAACATATGTACATTGTAAAGATGTTAAATGTATAGTAGTAATTTACTCTGACTGTCACCTCTACTCTCTACTTTAAAATGTCATCTAATTATTCTTACTATTATTATATTAATCCTTTCTTAAAAAAACACTTCTCAATTATACAGACAGTGGCCACACCATAAAATAAAAATTAATAGGTGTAAAAAAAATGCCCTTAAAAGTCAGCACTTTCCTTCTGTTTATCAAAAAAAATCTGTGGTCATGAGCAATTCAATGTTTGGAACAACATTTCCACATTTACCCTACCCAACATTGCACAACAAAAAAACAGGACTTACATAACAAATTCATATAACGTAAACAGGAAGCGGAATATTATTATACACAAAATTTTTCACGTCACTTTCACTAAGATTATATATAAAATCCCCACTTTCCCCGAGTCTGCGCTTTACCGTCCTCACAGCACGTATTAAATAAACTTTCCTCCCGCCGTTTGCGGTGATAATTTTCAGTCCTTTAATTTTCCCGGCCGGTGTTTATTGCGATAACGGACCACCCCGCGACGCGACGGGAATATTGAACTGTACAAATATCATTTTTGGGTGTCCCAGAAACGACCTTAATTTGGTACGGTCTAGACTGGAGACGACCCTTAAGGTTTAACACTTTTGGAACCTACAGACGCAAAAACACGCCGTTTTGTGCGGATCTGGGTCAATTCTAGCACAGGAAATAAAAACCAGTCGGACAGAGATGTTGAAATGTGGTAAAAACCGCAACATTTCCGTACGTTTAACCTTAAGAGACAAAATTTCTGGGGACAAGCACCACAGGTCATACCACACTGACCCCGATTTTTACACCCTAATAAGGGCAAAATACACAAAACAGAGACCTTTTCATGGTTCATTTCTTTCTTGCGGATGCTATAAACTAGAGCTAGAAGTAATACCAGCCCCGATTTGGGTTAAAATAAGACAAAAATGGTGAAAAAAAAGATCCACCCACCTCTAGACCACCGTGGCTCGGTCCGCCATCTTTGTTTCCCCAGCCTCGGTCTGGCGCAGAGTAAACAACCAGGGCCCCCTAGGTCACCGACCTTTTGCCGGATGAGGACAACCTAACCTACAGGTCAAAAAACGTGACGTAGGCGGCCGGACTAATGGTATTTCAGGGTTTTATATTTCCTAAGAGAACAAATTTCATGCACGCGTGTGAATGAAATTGGCTTTGGTAACTTTCTTGTTGATTTGCCTGTTATTGTTTTTCAACTATGGAAGGAATACAAAAAGGTAGTTGAAAATCTCCATGATCACACATCCTGTATTTCACTGTGTGAAAGTGACAAAATTAAAAAAAAGGAAAATTGCATAGATAGTAGTTTTTTCATTCCCAGCGAATTTAAATTCGACCAAAAAAATTNTAAGTTTTTTTTTTTTAATATTGCTCTTCTGAATCGCACCTTGCACACTCTTGTCCTGGGGTTTAGCAGTGTACTGCAGTTAGCTTTGGGTTCAAGCAGGTTGACTAATTTTTCGATGACACGGCCTTTATTAGCTACAAAATGATAGAATTTCTTATTGAAGACAAAAATAAATGTATCTAAATTATGAATATGACATAATTATCCACCCCTCAACGTAACTTTGGCTGGGAATTGGTCAGTTTCGAGTTCATATCCCACCCCTTGTCGCAAAGTGGTATAACCCAACATGGCGGCCTTCAGCTGGAGTTGTCCTGTTTTCGTGCTGATTTTGGCCGTTTTCTGCGTTTCTTCGCGAGTTCAGGGCGAGAGAACGCTGCAGTTCGTCAGCCTGGTAAGTCTTGCACAGTTTTCTCACGTATCACCGCCCAGTTTGGACGGTAACTTGCAAAAATCGCCACAAACAGACCGGTTCAAGTTACTAGTAGCCCCTGCTAGTAGCCATATCGTGCATAATCTCGTTAACTAGCCTCCATAGCATGCCAAAAACTGGGGGGTCTTTATGATCTGGAGCTTTTATGTGCTATTTTCTGATTGCATATAGATAACATAGCCGGCCTGGTTGAATTACCCCCGAAAACTGGGCTAAATTTTATCAGAAAACGGCCGAAGACCACCAGTTCTATAAGCCTGCTACGGAGGCTAGGAAAAACCTTTACTCTGTGATAGCCTCCGTAGCAGGCTTATAGAACTGGGAGCTCTATACTGCGGCAGACCATGTCATGTGCCATGTTTGTTTACAGGTGTATCGCCATGGCGACCGGTCGCCTGTTCTGAGCTTCCCTAACGACAACAACACAGAGGACACCTGGCCACAGGGCTTCGGGCAACTCTCACAGGTGGGACGTTTGTTCTTCTTTTATCCTGACAATTTTCTCATTTGACCTTGACCTCTGCCCTACATGACCTTGACCTCTGTGCCCTATGACCTGTCTGACCTTCACAACTCTCACATGATGTGCAGCCATTTTTTCTTTGTTTTTTATCATCAATTTTATATATGACCTTGACCCCCATGACCTCTGCCCTGCCCTGCCTGATCTTGACTTCTGTGACCTATGACTTGTGCAGGAGGGGATGCGTCAGCACCATGAGTTGGGGACGTTCCTAAAAGACAGATACGTGAAACCTGACTTCCTCAACTCCTCATATAGCAGATATCAGGTAAGGCAGCATCACTGGGAGGTAACAACCAATCACAGTCCTGTTAGAAAAGTCGTAACAACCAATCACAGCTTAGGGAAGCTTGTTGGTAGCCATTCAGGGCTTGTGGTAAAAGGACCAATCATGGCTTTAAAATAGGTGACGACCAATGGTCGTTTAGAAAAGTCATAAAAATCAATCATAGCTTAGGAAAGAGGTTGCCGACCAGAACTCGTATAAACTGTACATAGCTCAACCGTTCAAACTAGTTCAAGATCACTTGCCCTTGTTTCACCCCCAGTTCCAGGTTTGGAGATCCAGATTTGTCGCAGACTAACCTACAGTTATGTTTATGGAGAATTCTTGCACAAAACATGCTAAACAGACTAATATCTAGTTTAATTTTCTTCACTGTTGTTCCTCCCTCCCCCCAGATCCATGTACAGAGTACAGATGTAGACCGGACCCTGATGAGTGCTCAGGCGGACCTGTCTGGTCTCTTCCCACCGGCCGGGGACCAGGTCTGGAACCCAGACATCGACTGGCAGCCTATCCCTGTACACACCAGGCCAGTAAAAACAGACGAGGTTTGTTTTGTTTTTTTCTTATTTATCACAATCGGTCTGGAACCCAGACATCTGGCAGCCTATACCAGTACACACCAGGCCGGTAACTGCAGATGTGGTGAGAGGGTTGTTTGTTTGTTTGTTTGTTTGTTTTCTTCATATTCATCACAGTCGGTCACTAATGCTATTTGTCGGTTGCTTGACTACTTTGTATGACCACTTGTCTGTTGGACTTTCAAAAAATTTGTCATCACTGATTTGCATATCGATCAATAGTTCGTACTGGAATATTTTCCAAAAAGCAGTTACTCAAGCAACTGGACATGATTTTGGAAACGGTCAGACGTTTCAGGTAGTATCCACTACTAAAGCTTTCGTCAGTGACTGAGAGACCAGAGGAGAATTGCAGGTTTATAAGTACTAACTATTGATTGATATGCAAATAAAGTAAAGACACATTTTTGGAAGTCCAAAAGGAAACAAAACTTAGACAAGTCAAGACAAGATAATGCAAATTAGTCAAAAAGCTTGTTAGATACGGAATATTCTGTAAAATTCCCCTCCCGCTCCGGCCAGGTACTCCGACCGATGGACGTTCCGTGTCCGAAGTACACCAAACTGACGGCAGAATTCCTGCAGACTGACCCGGAACTGAAGAGACTAGAGGAGGAGAACAAAGTGAGATCCTTTTTAGTGCCTGTTTTTTTCTCCGTAAAGGATGTTCATCTTTCAATTAATTTCAAAACAAAATGTGTGTTTGTAATCAATAATATATTGCAAACAAAAGCATTTACTAGTGTTATATCTTGCAGACATAGACACCATCTGGTTTTAGGGGAAATAACATAATCCTCTTCCTGCTGACCAAAGTGTACAATTCTAGTTGTAAAATGCACCCCTAGCAATGAAAGGTCAACTCTGGCCAGGGCTAACTTCACCTGAACACTGGACAACTGAATCTTAGCAGGCAAAAGGTTAATATGGCTGTCTTGTTCAGTGCATGGCACACCCTTTGCAGACCGAGGGTTAACCGGTTTCTCCCCAGGAGTTTTTACAGAACATGCGCCTCTGGACAGGCTGGCAGGAGGAGGTCGACGACCTCAGGATGGCTGACCTCACCTTCGATGCTTTACTCTGTGAGGTAAGGTCAACAAAGGTCACAACATGACCTTCAGGTGACCTCCACATGAGGTAAGGTCAACAGAGGTCACAACATGACCTTCAGCTGACCTTCACATGAGGTAAGGTCAACAGAGGTCACAACATGGTCTTCAGGTGACCTTCAAATGACCTTCAGGTGACCTTTACCTGACCTTCAGGTAGCCTCCACATGCGCATGCTTGCCCTTCCAGCGATCCGCTCTTGTTGTCTTCTTCTCACCTGTCTTTTTTGTTGTTTTTCTGTCCCTCTGCATGGCGTCTGCAGGAGTTTCTTGCAAACGTGACGCGCTGGGCTAACTGGAGCTCCCCGCAACATGTCATGGACACCTGGCAAACTGCTGACCCCCTGCACTGCGAGGTAACCAATCACAGGGCAGGAAATTTGTCAGTAGCCAATCAGGGCTTAGGAAATTTTGTCAGTAGCCAATCAGGGCGAAGTAAAGTTAGTTGGTAGCCAATCAAGGCTAAGGACATTTTGTAAATAGCCAATCAGGGGGAAGGAAAGTTTGTCAGTAACCAATCACGGCTTGGAAAAGTTTGATGGTAGCCAATTGGGGCTTTTGCTAGAAGGACCAATCACAGTTTAGAAATGCTTGTTGCTAGCCAATCAGAGCATGTTTTAGAAGGACCAATCAGGAGTAGAGAAACTTGCACACTTGCTTCTGCCATCTGCATAAAAAAATCATTTATTTTTTAAAATGCTGCCAACTGCTAGCAACCTGCTGAAAAGCTCCATTTGTGTACTAGTAGTATAGAAGTGTTGTCTCGGTAAATTAGACAAACATCAGATATTCTAATGTAATGGTTCTACATGAAATAAGAATAGGAAATAACTCATTGATTAAGAAAAATACATTATGCTACAAAGTAGAATTAACAAAAGTTTAGATGAAGTGAAAAATGCAGAATTCAATTCACCAACTCAAGCCAATCACCGATCCTTTCCATCTGATTTGTTTGTTTGCTTGCTTGTTTACCAGAAAGCCCACAACAGGCCGTTGCCGGGGTGGGCCACGCCCGAGGTTTACGCCCGGTTACAGGAGCTCTCTGCCTTCGGGATGTTTTCTCTGTTCAGGGGGAAGGAACGAAGCCGGCTCACAGGAGGTAGGAAGTACTGAAACTGCACTTTTCAGTTGACTTTTATATGTGTATATATACAATTATTAGTGCTGTGTACCGGTTGAATTTGCTGGACCAGTTTCGGACTTGTAAAAATGTTTAGGTCGAAGTCCAAAAAAACCTAGAAGTCAAGAAGCGATTCCGGACTTATTACAAAAAAAACATGTCATATAACCTTTTTCTTTCCAAACCACCTAAAAGTAAAACCTTCCGTACATTGCAAAATCTGTGCTGCAAATGAAGAAAACATTGCCATTGGGCATCGTCAAGTACCGGCCTCCATGTTATGTGGCCAAAGTTTGCCCAAACAACATTGCAAGGTTGCCAACATGCAATATTGTATATGCCATGGGTTTAGGTCCAGAGTTGAGTTCGGAACTGAACCTAAACATCTGGACATGAATCCGGACCTGAACCTAAATGTGGGTTTAGGTACACAGCACTAATGGTAACTGTTGTAGAAGATCTTATGAACATTCTTTTGTTGTTGTTTGTTGTGTTATACAGTCAACTTCTTTACGAGTTCACGGCTAACCCCTTCCTTCTGCTGTTTGTTAGGAACCCTGCTGGGAGAAATGGTGAAGAACATGACACAAGCGAAGGAAGGGACGCTTCCCGACAGCAGACTCAAACTCATCATGTACTCTGCTGTGAGTTACACCATCTTACATTATTGAAAGGCAAATGCTACTTAAAGGCACCCAATGCAATTTCAGGGCAGCAAAACTGGAAATATTCTGATTAAGGCAATCTTTGTGATATTGACACATACTGTCCCACATTAGCACTGAAACTCATCATGTACTCTGCTGTAAGAGTCATCTTACATACTAGGTACTGTAGGTACGGCAGACTCTCTATTGTAGCAGGCTACAGTAGGTAGTCAGCAGTAGCTGGTGTGGTACACCAAAGGGCAATTATACTCAGGTTATACCGATACAGATATAGTAACCATGGAGGATGTCACCCAGGCTAGTTACGAATGTCAACTTTTAATACTAATAATAGTTATTAACCAGTGTTTCCTTAGAAGGGCAATTGAAGGTAATGACGCCATCCATAGTTATGGTTCCAGAAATCATATTCAGGATGTTTTCATACCCAACTAAAAATATTTAGTACATGTACAGTTCTTTCATGAGAAGACATACAAATTAGAAACCTTAAGATTGATGAATTTGTGATGACATGAACTGAGGTTTGTAACAGGTTAGTAACAGATGAATGTTTAGTTAAGAGTTTTACACAACCAAGTCTTTTATTATATTCAGCAGACGGTCACCAAAACTTTGGCTGAATAAAAGACTTGGTTGTGTAAAAAGAGTCTCTTTACTCAGTGTCTTACCAACCTGATGAAACTATTCACGGATGAATGTTTTTTTACATCCCCCAGCATGACACCACCCTAGCTGCCCTGCACTCTGCACTGGGGACCGTCAACTCTCTACAGCCACCCTACGCATCATGTGTCATGGTCGAGCTGTACAGGGAGGATTCTGGGTAGGTATCCCAGCAGCCACCTGTGTCAGGGAGGATTCTGGGTAGGTATCCCATCATCCTCCTGTGTCATGGTGGAGCTGTACAGGGAGGATTCTGGGTAGGTTTAAAGTTAAAACTTTTGGTCCAACACATTAAGTTCTCTCACCTAGAGCTTTCGACCAGTCACTCTGGTCTTCCTCAGTAGACTGACCCAGTGAAGCTTGTCATGTGGCTTCTTTGAAGTGTGACTGGCAAAGATATTTGTTATCCTGTGTACATGTACAGACATGGTGAAACTATTTACAATTATCATAGAATGTAAACGTCCCATTTTTTTTCCTGTAGTGAGTTCACAGTAGAGGTGTGGTACAGAAATGACACCTCCCGCGATCCATACCAGCTGACTGTGCCAGGCTGCCCAAACCCCTGCAGCTACACACAGTTCCTCAATGCCACACGAGACTCCGTTCCTGTGGACAGGGCAAAGGAGTGTCAGCTTGGGGTCACAGACATCTGGACTATACGTGAGTATTCATGATCAGGTTTACCACATTTGTGGAAGGATTGACATAACAGGTGACTGTCACCTCTCCAAGATGTCAAACTGAGACCAAACTGTAAGGTTTGAACCACTCACACTGGGAAGGTCCCCTACTCTTTTCAATAAGTGTGGTGAGTTCTTCTTCTTTTTTTTTTTTGCTATCCCCAAATGCAGGACCTCCATTTAATGTCCTATCCGAGGGACGCCTCAAACCGAAGCTAGGTACTCATTTCGTTCTGACTCTGAGTGAAGTGAGGTTAGTCATGTTTTCTCAAGGGCACAAGATTGGCGGCATGGCAGGGTTCGAACCCATATAAGAATTTCTGGGGAGACCCCTGCTGTAAATAGCCCGTTTCTATGGCAACCCTGACTGCCCCGTTCCTCACCCTGCAGAGGTGATCGCTGGGGTGGCGGCCGGAGCGTTTATCGTCATGGCGATCGGTATCTTCGTGCTGGTTGGCTGCGTGCGGCGGTACAAGCGTCGGGACCAGTACCTGCGAGACTGGGGCTCCAGCGAAACCATCTGACTCATGGACATCGACAGGGAGGACCTCGAAGACGTCCTGTTTGAGGCTAAACCTGGGGAAACAGACGGCCTGGAGGATGGAAGGGTTTGAGGCTATGTGCAGGGCTCGAAAATTTAGGCTGGGACAACTAAAAAGACACTTTGGGACATTTTGGGGACTCTAGAAAAATAATCAACATCAGAATGTCAGCCCTTCTTTTGTTTATCAGGCACACGTCCCAACTTTTGGATCCGGAAAAGTCCCCCCAAATTTCCTGTCAACTCTGCAATTATAGTGCACCTGGGAGTGGACACAAGCAAAATAAAGTTGAAGTCATACAATACTTCTGAAAAAAAAACAGGCTGGGACAGTTCATCCTCACTTCGGGACAATTGAAATTTATTCTTGGGACAGTGCTGGGACAATAGGAAGAAAAGTTAATTTCCAGGCTTGTATGTGGGCCAGACTAAGCCTCATGAACCTCAAAAACTTCAGGGTCAAGTCAGGTGATAGGATAGGCAAGAAACTGGTGATAAGAGAGTAATTGTTTTGTTTATGTTTTGCCTTGGTTGCTATGTTATTGTTCTTTGGTTGCTATGCAGTATCCAGTTGCCATGGTGATGATAATGTCTAGCTGACGGTAGGGTCTGGTGCCATAGTTTTAAGTTGGATCGAGTTACAGATTATATAAACTTGCCATTGACTTTTGAATTACTATTGCTAGTATTATAATTATAGATTCACTGTTAACAAATTGTGTAGGAATATTGCACTACAATCAATTAAGTTTGGTATAAACTCAACTTAAATCCAGCCAAATAATTCAGAATATTTCAGATGTGCCACAAAGAATCTTCAATCAAATATTCAGTTAGACATGTACAAATCTACTCAGAGAAAAATAACATCTTCAAAAAAATCTTCCCTACTGCCTTACATGTTAGTCAATAAAGACTTAGAATAAATAAAGAATAAATACACGTAACTCAACTCAGAGACCATGTACTAGTAATGCACTTAACTGACTATATAGTTGTGTAAAAAGTTAAGAATTTGTGAAACTCATTTTTTAAAACATGTATAGTGCAATGATGAAGATACCAGATGTATATTATATATAGAGAGAGATAAATATTGAACGGTCTGATGTTATAAATAGATGAAATACAGAAGAAAAACTGGCTATAGTGTGGGGGATAGAAAATCAAATGTAAAGTTATGAGGAAGTGACCATGTTTAGAAATATTTCTTTTTGAAAAAAGTCAGACGAAAAAGGAAGAGTGTACATTTGAATTACCGGTACTTTTAATGTAGTAACAATGCAAGTGTGTTTAGGTTTGTCATAAAGTATGCTGCAGGACTATTTTTAGCTGTTTTCAGTACTGTTAAAAGGTGTTGATGCATTTTGTAGAAGTGGTAAAACATGTACTGGTACTGGTAGTTATGATTTTGTATGGGCCATATGCTGGGTATGTTGCTTGTAGCATGTTGCTGCAATTGTTAGATGTTTTCTACAGAAAACTGGTGAATTTTTTTCATAATTTGATAGTTTAAATACTGGAGAAAGCCTTTTGTCTGTAACTTGCATCATTTTTGCCATTTTTTTATGGCTCCGACATTTTAAATTTACAATGTGAATAATGTGTGATTAAATTGATGTGACTCAAAGGGACGACAAAGCGTGTTTGTCCATTTTTCGTAGGCCTGTATGTTCAAACGGCTCTTTGTATTATAACAGTAGCGTTAACCCGGGGACGGTCGGCGCGGCACACACCGCGCGTCTCCAGTCACTGCCGGCGGGGGGAAACTCCATGTCCGCCCGCAGAAAACTCCGCCAAGTCTCGGTCATCCTTCAACTTCGACTACTGGGGTCTTACAACAAACTGTAACCTTGCCGTACAGCCTTATAGAAGACCCAGCAACCACTTGATACTCAATAAATAACGTACAATAATCATATGCAGTAGAACACGTCAATCTACCGGGTCACGTAACGGGAATTCTTACGGGAGACCCCGCCGCTAGCCCCCGAGGAAATCTCGCTCCCGACCCGGTGACGGTTTGGTCTCGTTTCCGGTCAAAGGCGTCGCTACATGCCAATCGTCCCCACAGAATGTGTCCGTAGCTGCCTGTGCCACCCAACATTGTCAAAAATTCGCACTGTTTGTCGTGTTTTATTGTGCTAGAGAGTGAGAACTGACAAAAACTCTTCCACACTAGCGTTGTTTCGGCGGGATCAACATGGCGCTAGCGGAACTTTAAGCCGAGTTTACGGTGTTTAACAGTTGTGTGGCGCTTGTCCGACGTTACATCTGACATCTAGAAAGTCTATAAACTACACAGACGATACAATTTAACTTGAAATTACCTTTATTGAGCAATAGATCCCTGTTTCTGTCCATCCATTGAAGGTCAGAACAACCCGATGGTCGCCATTTGTTGAACTGCGTGACAAAAGCGTCGCCCGGCGGAATGTAAAATCATTGCAGCATGAAAAAATCTACAATAGGATTTTACATTGGATTTCTAAAAGCGACCTCCAGCGGTTGTAATCATAAACACATAAAAACGGCAGCGGCAAAATTCTAGCTGATAGCTGATTGGTCGATTTGAAAAAACAACAGCCAATCAGGATTTACAATCGATTGTTTTATGGCACCCCTAATACTCATAGAAACAAGAAAAGTGATTGGCTACAGGATATGGCAAATCAACCAATCAATAGCTACTAAATGAAGGGCAAGCATGGGGACGTGAATCTACGAAGTTTTGGTGCTTATAAGCATGAAAACTCGATAAAATCACGTTGTTCTCTACAAACTAAAGGTACCCGATGAATTTACATGTAAATAATAGGCTTATTCTGTCAAATTGAGGGTCTTGAAACGCGTTAGATCGTCACATTTGGCCCATTTGAACGATGGCAGCTGGTCGCTTCCGAAACTACGTAGTTCGCGCCCATACGAGAACCCGACTGGGGGGTAACTTGACGGTCTGAAAGCACCAAGACTTCGCAATGGAAACCGTTTTCACGTAATTTGTAGAACGATAGTGCATATGATTATTGTAAAGTGTCGCCAGACTCTCTGAATCTAGCGTAAAACGAAGCTGGCCTCCGTGAGATGAGTGGGGAGGGGTGATTGGGACTCCTCCATACATACTCTTCAATTGGTAGATGCTGATTAGTCAATAAAATGAATTGCCAATTCACGATAGGCTGGTAATTTAGATTTGCGGGAAACTGTGTAAGGTTCCCGTACGTACCTTAGAAGCTCAATGCTGATTGGTTCTTACCGCCCAATGGCAAGGCACAACGATCTTGAATGCCCTCTCTGATTGGTTGATTGCTATCTCCAGGACCCAATCACTTCTCTTGTTTCTTTGAACATTAGGAATGCCATAAAACGATCGATTGTATATCCTGATTGGCTATTATTTTTTCAAACTAACCAATCAGCTATCAGCTGTAATTTTGCCCTCACCGTTCTTGTGTCTGCAGTGATTTTGTATTCCGCTAGAAGATGAGACGGCGCTTTTGACACGCAGCCGAGTTAGACGAAGTTCAACAAATAATATGGCGACCATTGGGTTGTTCTGACCTTCAAATTGATGAACAGAACAGGGAACCATTGCTCAATAAAGGTAATTTACAGTTAAATTGTATCGTCTGTGTAGTTTATAGACTTTCTAGATGTCAGATGTAACGTCGGACAAGCGCCACACAACTGTTAAACGCCGTAAACTCGCCCCAAGTTCCGCTAGCGCCATGTAATCTCCAAGCAGATCATACGGTGGCAAGGCAGTATCCATTGGCCAGAGGAGTGTCCATTTAATCTCCAAGCAGATCATACGGTGGCAAGGCAGTATCCATTGGCCAGAGGTGGCTAAT